TGTATTATATTTATGTACTACAATGAGGTTGTTGGTTTTTTTACAAGCATTATGCAAGTTCTTTTAGTGAGAATCTGGTGGTGACCGCATGCCGTAACTGTAATCGATCTTCCACAGCCTTCGTTCGCCACATCATGTCTGGCTGAGAGATGTCTCGGGTGTACGTCTACCTCCTGCCCTCAACATTTATAACACGTGAAGCAACAATCCATCCAGGCTTTTTCTTTAACGCTCTCAGACGTGCATGTTTGCATAGTCTACATCTTATCGTTTTGCTAATATAGTCCTTCACAGGGTAGCTGTGCATCATGTGACGTCTGAGCTAGGGAGCCTGGTTGGATGTGGTTTTGACATATGGTTGAACTCTTCCCTATCTCTGCAGCAGCCTTTTCTCTGGCCCCTGGCTGCAGCATGCTCTCAGCATGTGGCCGTCCCTGTGACGGCTCGAAAGAGGCGAAAGAGCCACTGCGCTGCTTCAGACTTGAGCGCAGGTCAAGGGATGCTGCATATAAGGGTGCCATTTAAAAGCATTTAATTCACTTTTGGATTTGTCTTCTGATATTTAAAATATCAGCACACAACCCTCCCTGTGCTCACCAAGCAGCGCAGTTGCTTTTATTATGAACTAACCAATCAAGTTGCAGTGATTTGGCTGTTTTTGCTGATCTTTCTCTCCCTTTGCCTGATGGAGGCTGATTCATAGTTCAACTCTACGATCTCTCATTACTGTAGCTGTGCTAAAAGACTGTTTCCACTCTTGCCCTGTAGAGGAAAACCAGAAGGAGCTTCTTTAACATTTTCTTGAATCCTAGACCTTGTTAAGTCTTTAAACTGTGGTTGAGTAGGAGCTAGCCATGATCTCGCTCTCACCCCGTTTCTCACCACTTAAGAACGAGTACTGGGGAGCGGCTTCAAACTACAGCAAACATGGCAGGCCAGGTGCAGTTTGAAGGGTCGATGAGGATATGTGGAGGGCATTTGGCTAGGTTCTTTAAAAATAACTTTGGACTGAAGATTAGAAAAGATTTTGCGTATGCTGTAGTTGGGGTCGATCCCCTTTTTGCTGCAAATGGACACTAACTTTGTTTTATTTCTTCTTTTTTTTCCCACAGAACTCGTCCGCATGGTCATGAGCGGTTGAAGATAAAGACCACAACCCATTTGTTTGTCTTATTTTCTATGTAATAATTTCTTTATGTATTTTGTTTTTCTTCCTATTCATTCCGTCACCTTCATTTGCTTAATGGCTTCAGTCCCTCTCTTGTGTTTGCACTCATTTGGGTATTTTTATTAGAAGTGCCTTTTATCTTCTTTAAGTTCCCATATGACTCCCCAAGAGATACACCTCCTGTCCTGTGGTATTCAAACCATATAACGATATGAAAAAGATCTCTTGTGTGCTGACACACGGTCTGCAATAAAACCTCTTGATGCAGCACATAAGCAGTGTGTATGCAATTTCCAGTGAATCCTCAGGCATCTTTGCTGGACAGTGCTGTGGTAGAAATGTTGTCTGGCCAGACTTATTTTTGGCCTTTTCAGAATGAGAAGTTAACCTTTTTCCAAAGTGAGAAATTATGAATTGAAAATGCAATAACATTTTTTTGTTTTAATAAACTTGGAATGTTTTCGCTGTCCAATAAAGTACATTTTAAACAGAAACTACTTTTTTATTTTTCCAGTGTCCTTTTATATTAATTAAGTTATTCAAAAGTGCCACAAGTCATTGTTTTAATTTTAGGGACCAGTGTAGGGTCAAGCTGAGCTTGGCTCTCTCCTGTTTGCAGATAGATGGCAGTGTTCTTACACTTGTTGAAAGCTCAAGAAATCTCCCCCAGTTCCTTTAATCGATTGTGGTTAATTGCAAAAACCATGCTGTCTGAAGTTAAATTAGAGCAAATTACTGAACTTCTTTTGCAGTTAGATTAATGCAATTCAAATGATCACTATTTGGTTTCAGGTCAGCAACTTAAATTAAAGGTAAACATTGTTGGTGCAAAGATGTTTAGTGTCCTTGGCACTAATTTGTCTCAATTGCTTATAAGGGCAGATCTCAGGCAGACAGACATAGTGGGTTTTAGAAACCTGCTGCTTTTTTCTTTCTTTTTGTCATGCTCATGCTGTAGTTTTAAATTTAGGGATCAGTGTCTCTAAATATATTTTACAGCTTTTTAAAACAAATTATGAATGTAATTAGCTGAAGATCAACAATGGATGTGATAACCTAAAATAACATTAGGGATTTTTCCCTCCAATAAATAAATATATATATTAAAAAGATCCATTCATCTTTCCTTCTATAATATATGCCTTTCAAAATCAAAAGTTTGTGGTCAGTAATTAAAAAAAAAAAAGAATTTTATACTTTTATCCATACATTAAATTGATCAAAAGTGACTTGCATTAAACAATTATTTCAAATAAATGTTCTTAAGAACTACTTCAAAGAATCTTGAAATGTATCAGTTTCCTCAAAAACTTAAAGCAGCACAACTGTTTTTAACGATGTTAATAAGTTAAGAAATGTTTCTTGAGCATCAAATCAGCATATTAGAATGATTTCTGATGGATCATGTGACACTGAAGACTGGAGTAATGATGCTGAAAATTCAGTTTTGCATCACAGGAATAAATTAAATCTTATAAAAATAAATATATGGTCATTAAGATAAACTATTGTGAAATGTTTATAACAGCTCAGCTTAATACATATACATGCCAGAGGTCAGAGGAGAATGGCTAGACTGGTTCGAACTGATAGGAAGGCAACAATGACTTAAATAACCACTCATTACAACCGAGGTCTGCAGAAGAGCATCTTTACACACAACACGTCGAACCTTGAAGCAGATTGGCTACAGCAGCAGAAGAACACACCAGGTGACACTCCTGTCAGCCAAGAACAGGAAACTGAGGCTATATTCACACAGGCTCATCAAAATTGGACAATAGGACATTGGAAAAAACTTGTCTGGTCTGATAAGTCTCGATTTAACTGCAACATTCAGATGGTATGGTCAAAATTCAGTGTAAACCTGAAAAAATGGATCCATCCAGCCCTGGTGTGATAGTGTGGGGATATTTTATTTGCACACTGTGGGCCACTTAGCACCAACTGAGCATCGTTTATACCCGAGTATTGTCGCTGACCACGTCCATCCCTTTATGACCACAGTGTAGTCATCTTCTGATGGCTTCTTCCAGCAGGATAACGCGGCATGTCATAAAGCTCAAATCATCTCAAACTGGTTTTCTTGAACATGACAGTGAGTTCACTACACTCAAATGGCCTTCACAGTCTCCAGATCTCAGTCCAATAGAGCACTTCAGGGATGTGGTGGAACAGTAGATTCATGAATCAATATGGACCAAAAACTCTGAGGAATGTTTCCAGCAACTTGTTAAATCTATGCCACAAATTAAGGCAGTTCTGAAGGCAAGAGGGGGTCCAACCCGGTACCAGCAAGGTGTACCAAATAAAGTGTCCGGTGAGTGTGTGTGTATATATGTGTGTATGTTTGTACAGGCCTTGCAAAAGTCTGTACTACTGCTATACATATCTGTTCATATACCTCTATTTAAAAAAATAATTATTATTCTTTTAAAGGTAAAAGAACATCATACGATCTAATTGTAATCTGAGGGTTTGTTTGGGTGTGCTGAAATACCCCCATGATGCATTGTGTGCCAAGACGAGCCCATCAACAGCTCCCTGACCTTTTCTGTCTCTCGGCTCGGCACCAGTCAGAACTATTCCCCCCTCATTAGACAGCACATACACTCTCGGACTCAAGCCAGAGAGCCAAGTATCACACACCAGTGCTGAATAGGTCCTCCACTAATTACTGAATTCATTTTGCGCGGATTTGTGTGTGGATGTGCATGCGGGTCTGTTTCTACGCACACTTGTGCGAATGTGTTGGAGGCAAGTGAAGTGTATTGATTATTTTAATCTGCCTATTTGTGAGTCTGTGATCTTCGTGGCTCTGCATTCGACAGGGGAATCACTAATGGGCCTCAGCACAGGCCGCCTCAGACCTCTCCCCGTCCAATTAACTTTCAACTGGAATCTGGCAGGAGAGCGCGAGGAGGCTGGCCACGGACATGCTGAGATCCCCCACATATTCCCACAGGCTACAGACTCACCAAAGCCTTAAGGCCGGAATGTCATTACCTCTCCCTTTTAATTAAAGGTTTTTCCCCTCGTTTTAGCCCTGACATGCCCAGGTAGAATCCAAGCATCGTTCATGTCGTTGTTCTTGTTTAGCTTGTTTCTCTTTTTCCTTTTTTCCCCTCCAAATGACTGAATTTCCATTCTCTGGTAAACATGTCTATGATTCAGACTTTTATTTTCTCCAGATGTTTATAGTAGAGAACTATTTTGCACGACAGAAATATGTTTGCCATATTTGTATAAAACATTATCTTAGAATTCACTTAACATAGTCATTAAGAATAGTCAGTTGCACAAATGTTACATAAAAATGAGGCAGAGATATTTGTATATGATTTATTATAGAATTGTTTGTGAATAGGGAATGTTTTTGACGTTTTGACATTTTATCTGTATATTTGTATCAGTGTATTTGCACATGGCTTGACTATCAACAACTACTTCATGCTGCATTTCTTACAAAGATTAAGTAATACAAGCTATAGAGCTGCTAAAATTTCAACAAAATGTTGTTGCATTTAAATAGTTTGAGGACACATCATTGTCAGAATTATCTTTCAAACATTTCAAACTTTTGGCCTCGTTTCTCATAATATAGCAACCGGCATGATTATCACAGAAAAATATATAGATATAAGCTTGATTTATAAATGTATAACTTCTATAAAACATATTATAAAACAATACATACAAACTTAGTGATCACTGTGAAAGTGTATTGACCTCTTAAATGCAATGCAGTAGCTACATCAAAAAATGAAATCATTTCTTAGACTTTTTATAGTACTCAAAAAATCTATAATCTCTATATAAATAATTCTATAACATAATGCTGATAAGATATAAAAGAATAATTCATTGTCAAGAATGGAATATTTAGTTTTACATTGTATTATATTTTATTAGACTTACACAGATGAGTACAACATCATCCCCTTTAAAATGTATTAAATAATCATATTAATTTACATGATTAAAACATATTGTACTCGCACATATTGGTTTAAATTTGAATATTGAAGAGTCTAATGTCTAAATCGATATATTAATATTAGAGCGAGTGAAAATCCATACTGTTATGAGCCATATTTCCAATTCAGACAGCCAAAACAGTCAAATGAATTGAACAAGAGGACTTAGATTAATCACTAGCCCTGCTCTGTGTGTGTACGCATATATACGTGCCTGTAATGAGCTACGGCTGCATCTATTGAGTGAAACGTATATACGCACTGATTTTGTTTCAAGTCTAGCCATGTGTAAATGCAGCTCAGCTCAACATAAAGCATGTCGACTATAGAGAGTGACTTTGAATCTCAAGGTTTTGATTGACACACAAAATGGAGACAAGTACACCAACAAGTACACACATTAAAATATGAGTGTGTCACTGTCAAGGATAGATATAAACATATATTTATGCATTTTAATTTACGTTTGGGAGTAGTGTATAATGTAAGTTATAATTTACACACATACAAGCAGCATGTTGGAAATCTGCTTTATGTAAGGAATTGGTTGCCATCATCTGTGAGGCCCTTCGACTCAGTATAAACCATGTCCATTTCTTTCAAGCCTGTTCAGTGTGTGAAGGTAACTGTATGAGTGAGTGTGTGTGTGTTTGTACACAGTATATCTGAGTGTGTTGAGCAGCATCACGAGCAGGTCAGTCAGCATAGATGAGGAAGCCAGAGAAAGTGCTGTATTTGTTGGTGTTTCCTCCGTGGACTTTCCCTCCGTCCAGCTGCACACAGACCTCATCTCCCACGTCTAAATGCAGGATCACACTGTTGGAGGCGTAGTCATAATTCTGATCAGCATCCTGGGCGATAGCGCTGGCCCTCACCTGTCACGCACAGGACAAATGAAGCCACGGTTAGAGGAAGGACACGGAGCAGATCGCAACAATTTACAGATTAGATTCCCAAGTATACTTGAATGCTACTGAGATGTAGATGAACCACTAAAAGTATCTATGATAATTTAGTGATATTCATTAGACCAAACCACAAAACATGTTTAAAGCACAACAACATGAAGTTTGACATTTGAAGCTTTTAAAATGATTTTAAACAGGTGGGATTGGGACCTTCCATTGCAATTCAATACGTCACAAACACATCAACTACCTATTGTGCTTCAGACACTCAGAAAAATTGTCACTTAAAAACAGAGATACATATTCAACAAGTGAGATCTGAGCATTGAATTATTGTTAAAATGAACACGGTAAAACAGTGTTTTTGATATATGTAACAAATTCAGATAGTGAAATAAGCAGACTGAATTCAGTGGCGTTTTCATTATCATATATGAAAGAAGAAAATAATAAGTCCGATTTTTTATATAAATGCTAAGCGTGGAAAGATTTTGATTTGTTAAACCTATAGAATTTTTTTAATAAAAAATAATATTTTAACATGAATAATTTAAAAAGATTGTACAGATTAAAAAATAATAATAATAAAAATAAAAATAATGCTAAAAAATTTATCAATAGACAAAAATGCTGAATTGATTTCCTTTTGTAGGGAAAGAAAAATTGTTTGTAATATGTGCGAGTTTTGTACATTTTATAAACAATTATTATATTAAACTAAATAATTAATATGAATGATATATTATTCATATTAAAGAAACGCTGTATAATGCGATTTAAAACACATGTGGATGAAGCGGTGCTGATGAGGCTGTGGAGGTACATAAGACAAAAAAAAATGTACAAAATATGGCAGATATCTCTACATATAGATGCTCTCTTGACACGAAAGAGGCCTTGTTTTATCATCTCTATGGCAATGGAATGGAGTGATTATTAAATGATACTCTAAAAAGGGCTGGTCGGGTTAAATGGATTGAGCTGCAGATAACCTGCTGACCTCTACCTCAATTGAGAAAGCAGTCATACTCTCTCCTATTTATTTACTGTAGGATCATCTAGCTATACCTAGTTGGATGCTAAAACTGTACCATATCCCTTCCTCGTATTGACCTGTTGAATTTAATCGCAAGCGCACGCATCGCGATGAGACTGTTTACTGGAGACATGGACTCATTTAAATTCTGCTTGAGGGATCAGCCGTATTGACTCCCAGCAGTGGATCTGAAACTTGTTTGTTAACATTTTAAATTGAGATTAGTCATGTGTTCAGAAAGATGCACATTCCTGCAGATGCAATAAAAGGGGCCACGTATTTTAATAGAAAAAAAATTCATACCCTTGCAATATGACTTAGACATTTCTCCCTTTTTTTATATTTATCGTCGTTTTTTTACTATCTGATCTATGCTCAAGTATTCTAAATGGAGAAGATGCGTAAGCTCCTAGCAGACAGGTGTCAGGTGACAGACAGTGATTGTCAGGCATTTTGCTCAGCCGTGTTATAGCCACTCAATCTTTGTCAGGTTTCCTAAACATACAGATCGAGTCTATCCTAGGGAAAAAAAATGACAAAGATATGCACGGTGTCAGTAAACATCCTCATACAACATGCCATCACTCACTCAAATGCCTCTTGTTTTATTGGCCGTGTTATTCCCTTGAGAAACACCCACAACCGCAGGCCACATAAAACACACTGACCCCAGACAAAGATAAACTCCCTCCCATATCCATAATCTAATAACCCCACTTCATTACCATCAAGATACTGTCAACATCCGCACAACGTCCTGAGTGGAGACTTCCGCCATTTAGACTGAAATGCCAATCTGTATAATGATGTTAGGGATTTTACAATGCAGCACTGCAGGACAAATACATCAGCTTTAAATTGATTTTGGATAGCAGTGATAGATAGTTGTCATTTGTAATTTGAAAAATACCCTTCCAAGTATCAAACAATATTGCATTTACATCCGTTATTTTAAGTGTTCAATAATTGATAGGCAGAACTGATTTTTAAAGGTCCCATGACATGGGGTTATTTTATTATTTTATAATGTTTCCTGGGTTGCCCTTATAATGTTAGTATGTTTTTTAGATCAAAAATAGTCATAATTTAGAAATAAAAGCCATTTTTCCTAGCCTGCTTGAAGGGGCGTGTCTGCTGTGGGATTCAGTGGAACCGGCCATTGCTGTGATTGGCTGACATGTATGCATATGAAATAGCTACGTATTACATGTGAAACTCTCTCGAATACTTTTACTACAGCTATTATAAGTTTTTACTATTACAGCTATCGAGATTCAACGAATCGTGGAAGTTTTTAAAGTATTTAGACCTATTCCCATCACATACAATGTTGCCGTGATGAGCACTGAGCAAGCAGGTGACAGTCTGTTGATCGCGAGAATGAACATCTCATCATTGCAATGCAGTTTATGCACTCTCTCTAATGCTTTCCCCAATGCAAACACAGTAAGAGCTTCGTTTAACGTGCGTCATTGATTTCATAACGAGATGTCCAGATAAACTTGCACTGTGTGGAAAGATTGTTCTTTGGTCGTTTTTTGTATAATTTGTTCACAATTTAAATAAGACTATCTTCATCCTACTAAAAGAAACGATGTGAAGTTGATATTTTAGTCACTGGCTTGACTTACTGATGCATAAACAGTAATGAACGATTTTGAGAGAAAGATTACCTGTCTGAACTTTAACAATTAGGCTACACATCAGAAATTGTTGCTTGGTAAAGGTCAAGGCCAGCTCTGTATTGGCCCAAGTTGAGGAAACAGTCGTCGGTGAAATGTTTGGACCATACAAAACTTTGGGAAGTTGTGTCGGCGCATTTCCCTTTCTTTTACGGTCTATGGCATTTCCAGAGAAAATAAAATTAACCCATTGTTTCTTCAGAGGCTCGGATGAAGGAACTAAAAAATACTATTGTGTTCATTTGTACACTGATCAACTGCCATGCTTCGGTCATTTGCAAGCCATGATATCTCTCTCGAGAGAAAATCTCAAATCGCGCTTGCGCGTTCGTACCATAGACAGTAGGGTTCGTACTAGTCTCGCGTAGCCAGACCTTCAGACTGACGGCTGAAGGTCTGGAATTCATAGCAGCTTTCTTTGGGCAAGGCCCGCCCATAAGGCCGTTTGACCGACATGTCAAACAACCAATTACAGTTCGTTTCGTTCAGCGTCACGTTTCGGGGCGTGGAAATGTCCCCACAACAACAGACCGGCGTGCAACCGCGTGCAACAAGTCAGTCAGCATAGAAAATCAAAGAAGGAGAAGAAAACTTCAAGAGTCTATGCCGTGAACCTCGCATACTTTTGAGAATCCTACGTTTAGCTGATCTTGATAAATGCTCGTTGTCACTCATGTAAACACAACAGTTTTTCTTCCGCAATCACACGTCTGCGCTTTGTTTCCCGGCGGACCGAAAATAAACCCGACACTCGCGCCCCCCGGAAATCCGATAAAATTCAACCAATCAGATGACGACTTCGACATTCCTGAAGTGTTTCCAGTAGGCTTTATGCACAGCTTCACTACTTCCTGAACTTCAGCCAGCCCTTTGTTTCCTGTCTGTCATTATTGGACAAACTGATTAGTCCAGGTGTGCCTGATTATTGTTACTGAGGCCAGGCACACCTGAATTAATCAGTTTGTCCAATAATGACAGACAGGAAACAAAGGGCTGGCTGAAGTTCAGGAAGTAGTGAAGCTGTGCATAAAGCCAGTTAAGTGTACCATATGCATCAGACGTTTAGCCAACGTTCCGTGGGCGTGACGTCTGAGGCTGAGACTAGGTTCGTACTAGCTCATTTTCACATGGGCGAGCCAAATTCTCTGGGCGGGCAAAGCAGAGAAAGGGGAGGTTACCTTTACTCCGTATGACGTCATACGGAGGAGATTCAAGATCAGCTCGTCTGAGCTTTCATTTTCTCAAAGGCAGAGAAAGATAGCCAAAGCTCGGTTTACACCGATTGAAATTTCTAGCCACTGGGGGACCATATACAGGCTAGTGGAGCTCATATTAATGTTAAAAAACCTCCGAAAGTGAAAATTTCATGTCAGGGGGCCTTTAATTGTTTTATTTTGCCTTACAACAATGCAAAGCATTCCATTCACTATGAATATTTAATAATAATAATAATGAATATTCAATTAATTATATTAAAATATTCATAATGGCTATGTTCTAATAATAATAGTAATTCTTATTAATGTAGATTTTATTGTAATTAAGTCTATTAATTAATGATTGTTAAAATAATAAAAAAAATTATAAACTTTTTGCTAATTAAATGGTCACAAATATATTTTCTTTTTTAATAGTAATTTTTTTTTTTTTTTACATAAATTACCCAACCTCTGAGTACTGTTGTTGGGTGTCAACACATGGTGCCAATTATCTGTACATAATATAGATTGGTAACACTTTACAATACGTTTTTATTTCTTAACATTAGTTAATATTAACTAACATGAACTAACCAAGCAATACTGTATTTGTAAATCTTTGTTAACGTTAGTTTATAAAAATACAGCTATTCATTGTTTGTTCATGTTAGTCCACAGTGCATTTACTAATGTTAACAAATACAACCTTTGATTTTAATAATGTATTAGTAAATGTTGAAAATAACATTAAGAAAGATTAATAAATGCTGTAGAAGTGCAGTTCATTATTAGTTCATGTTAACTAATGTTAACTAATGAAACCTTATTGTAAACTGTTACCGACTGTAAACTCTAATGTTGTCTTTACTTAAACAATCAAGTGTACTTGACTAAAAATTACTTTAAATTGAGCATTTTGGCCCTGTCACTCAAAAATATAAGTTCAAATAACTTATTTACCTTCAAAATACATAAACTTTAGATTTCAAGTGCTGTGAGCTCAAAATCATGATTAATCCTTACGAAAGGTCATTTTCACAAATGTTGTTT